AAAAGCTTGGTCCCTTTTCCTGGGCAAAGCACTGGATGGAATAAATTAATAAACACTTAACTATCGGATATGCCCCTTTCCACTTCTCTAACCTGGGAGGGGCTCCCACTATGACACCCACCTTGGGGAGTCCAAACCTTAGCCAGAATGCTCTAAAGTCTATAATAAAAGGATTCCCTATTCTCAGTCAGGAGCCCTGACGGCACAGTGGTTAAGAGCTCAGCTGCTTACCAAAAGGGTCTGCAGTTCAAATCCACCAGCTGCTCCTTGGAAACCCTATGGGGCAGTTCTACTCTGTCCTGTAGGGTTGCTGTCAGTCAGAATCAACTCGACGGCAATGGGTTTGGTTTTGGTTTGGTTCTCAGTCAAGACCGCTACATCCTGAATATGACTTTCCTTTGGCATTATGAGGAAAACAAACTTTAATTGCCAAGTATTTGAACCATCTCAAATACTCTACATGTTTTTTAATGGTTGTTGGTTGTCCCATATGAACCTCTATGCCATTTTTTGCATTGTTAACAAAGTGACATAAAAAGTTCGGGTAGTATAAGGGAAGATATTTGGGGGCAAAGGAAAGAAAGGGGAAAAAGTGATTAATTGTTCACTATGCGAGGCACTCTCAGCTGGTAGCACATTTAATCATCATAATCCGTTTGTTCCAGATAAGGAAATACCTCTAGAGAGGTTAAATACCTTGCCTAAGGTCACACAGCTTTAAGGGACAAAGCAGAGATTTAAAAGGAATCATCAATGCCCCTGCAAAGGCATTCTTGAAATTTCTGCCTAAAAAAGCAGCCTCTAAACTGGTCCCCTTCCCCATACCCCCTCTTCTGAACCCAGGGTTTCCAAGCACACTAAGCGTTCTACTTTTTCCATAATGGCTCTCGTGGAAGTAATAGCTGGGTTTTTGGTGGTAACTGGGGGAAGATGAAGGGGAAAGAGTGTCATTAATTTTAAGGGTAGGTTTATACCTGTGGCTTATAAGCAAATCTCATCATAGATTTGGAAAGAGGTCATAATGACTATAAGGGGGAGGCTAGATGAAAATCATTTTCAAACATAAAAAATGGCAGAAAAACTCACATGAGACATACTGATTTTCTAGGCTGCAGTTAAAAGTATGCTTAATTTACCTTTTCAGAATTCTACAGAGGAAAGATCTCATTTTCCAAGGGAGAAGTCGAACCAGTCCAACCTCCCATCACGGCAATCATCCAACCAGTTTATATAATCTATCTGGGAAATTGCAGATAGTTCACATTTAACCTGGCAGTTATAAAAGGACCATGTCTCATGGAATTATCCATGCTTAGTTGGTTCTCTGGATCAAAACGTTTTCAGGGACGTGGTAATGTCAAGATAACCCCTTATTCGGTCGAGCTTCTTACTTTAAATTATTTACCTCAGTTTGTTTATCTAATACTTAAATTTTTTTTTCAGTAGGTAATCTGTGTACACGGTATAAAACTCAGACGTTTTATAAGAATATACAGTGAACAACTTAGAAAAGGAGAGTGAGAATGGTTGCACAACTTGAAGAATGTAATCAATGTCAATGAATTTGTACATGTAGAAAAGTGAATTGGTGTGTGTTTTTGCTGTGTGTAGTCTCGAAAACAAAAAAGTAAAATTATTTTTTTAAAACAATACAGTGAAAATTAAGTCTCCTTCCTACTCCTGCACCCCAGCTGCCCAGAGTCCTTCCCTAAAGACAAGCACTGTTACCAGTTTCTGGTTAACGTGGGTTTTAATACACTAGAATTGATCAAAATAGTAACAGAGTGCCATTTCAGACTATGCTGATTGAGACAATTATGCTTTCTGTTATGACATACATGAAGTCTTCTTTATCTTTGGCAATACCAAAAGAATCTACAAAAACCTGAAAGACAGGGCCATAAAAAGGGAAGAAGGGTCCACTTGCAATAACCTCAAAGATGGCTGAACATATTAGAAAGTATTGCTTAATATTCTGGGGATTTTTTTTCAACTTCCTCTCTTTTGAAAAGTTTTGTTTCCTTTTTAAACAGATAAGTTATATAAATTATAGCATAGATACAAAAATGCCCACCTTTTTCCAAGACCTAGAAGAATATTTCAAATGCTTTGATTTGACCTGGCATGTTGTGAAGCCCTGTGATACATCCTGGTGAGAAAATGTTATTTAACATTCTCAAGAAATATTCATAACATGAAAAACGTTAAGGATTAAATTGTGTCCCCCCAAAATATGTGTTGGAATCCCTTATACCTGTGGATGTAATCCAATTTAGTAATAGGGTTTTCTATTATGTTAATCAAGGAGCCCTGGTGGCAAAGTGGTTAAGAGTTCAGCTGCTAAAAACCAAAAAGTCAGCGGTTTGAACCCACCAGCTTCTCCTTAGGAGAAATATGTGGCAATCAGCTTCCTTAACGATTACAGCCTGGGAAACCCTATGCGATGGTTACTCTATCCTAGAGAGTCGCTACGAGTCAAATCAACTCAATGGGATTTTTGGTTTATTATATTAATCACGTCATACCCAAGCAGGGTTAGTTCTAAATCTAATTACTTCTGAGTTACAAAAAGAGTAAATTAGACACAGAGACATGTACACATTGGGGAAGGGAGGGCACAGTCGCCACATGAGGATTGTCTACAAACCGAGGAACCAAAGAATGCCCAGCCCAGAACTACCTACAAGGAAGTGACTGACATGGCCGAGACCCTAATTTGGACTTTTAACCTCTAGAAGTGTGAGAAAATAAATTTCTGTTCTTTAAAGCCCCCTACTTGTATTTGTGTTATAGAAGACTGGGTAACTAAGACAGAGGTCAATAAAATATAGGCCAGATCATTGTAATCTAAAGGGATTTCGCCCTCCCTGCCTTTTAAGAACATTTGGAGATAGTATTTTCTTTCACTGAGACTCCCCTGGGAGTCACAGACTCCTAGAGAGAGTTTGTAGAACGCCTTCATACAACTAGCACATCTATGTTTATCAAGAAGCTGATACTTCTTAGGTGTCATCATGGCACACATTTCATATGAACTCCACAAAGACACCTTGTGTTTTTAGATCCATGCGACGCTTAAACAATGGTAAGAAGTGAGGACGCTAAAAATGGTAAGAAGTGAGTGGGAACATATGTGTATGGGTGGGGGGTAGTTACCTCTGAAAAGTGTTAAGCAGTGAAGGAAAGGAGGTGATAAAAGCAGATGCCCACAGTTTATCATCTCCAATCCTTTTACTGGCTCTGGCACTCTAGGCCATATATCCATTTCTCCTTTGACTCCACTGGCGATTTTGCACCAGCCATGTAATCTCTTTTTGATTCTATTTCAGCCCAGGGAATGGTTATGCTACTAGCAGAGAGAGGTGACGCAGCAAAATAGTTCCACAGAACCCTCTTTTATATGTCACCTGTCAACCCACTTGCCTTCTGAATCTGAAGACAGCAAATGTCAACTCCCACCCCCAGAAGTGCAGGAGACCTGGCAAGGAAGGGGAAGAAAAGCTGATTTTCCACGTCCCAGAACCTTCCTATTAGTGAGTCTCTTGTAACGGACTCACTTAAGTTACTACAGAAATTCTCCAACCAAGCTGTGGAAATTTCAAAGCAGATAAGGGCAACCAGAGGACAAGGAATAAGATCCCCAGGAATATTCTTATAATTAACTTTGTTAAGGAAACAGAGTGCAAATTTCAGACTTCTACGGGAAAAACCATACTCCCAGGGTTTTCTGTTGATCTCAAACCATCAAGTTTGAATCAAGTTACATATCTAAAGAAGTAAACAGGCAGAAAGACACCTAAAGGAAAACCTCAAACCTCCTCTCTACCAGGTCTTGTCCACACCTCACTACTGAGCAGAGGGTAAATCAACTCGCAAGCAGTTCCCCTTTGCCAAATTATTTCACACCTCATTTTCTGTTTAGCTACACTATAGTGCCAAGAGATAGCACCATGTACACTTTCCTTTGCTGCAATCAAACTGGCAACTGTAGTTATTTATTTATGCAACCATTTGATTAAAGTCTATCTGCCTAGATAAACTGCAAGCAAGCTCCTTGAGAGTGGGGCCTTGTCTATCTTATTGAATGAATTAATTGAATTAACAGAGTTTTTGGAATGCATGAGTTAACAAATAATTGCCAAAGGATTCCAACAGAATAAAAGTCCATCCTAGTTATAAACCAAACCCGTTGCTGTGGAGTGCATTCCAACTCATGGCGACCCCATGCGTTACAGTGTAGAACTGCTCCATAGAGTTTTCTTGGTTGTAATCTTTACAGAAGCAGGTCGCCAGGACTTTCTTCTGTGGCACCAGGAGGTGGGTTAAAACTGCTAACCTTTCACGTTAGCAGCCTATCACAAACCCCTTGCGCCACCCATGGTCCCCCCCATCCTAGTTAGGAGGGCCTCATTTCTACACAATAAGTTGGTCTTCTCTGTTTCATTCAATATGTGGTTATTGAACAGCCACGGGGTGCTGAGCACTATAGGCAGGTTATGACGGGTGCCCCACAGAGCAAGGCAGGTAAGCTCTCTGCGTCCACTGAGCTTACGTTGGAGCATTTACTGCGATGACCAGGCCTCAAAAACAATCTGGTAAAGCAAAACGGAAGTAGAAAGCGCGCACGTCTTTGATTTTCCCTCTTCAGAAACGGCACAGAGAAGAATTAGGAGCCACACCCCTTTTGCCAGCTTTTCCTCTGTAGCCCTCTCAGTTCAAAGACCGCCCCACGACGGCTGGACTTTTACCCCAAGCTGACTTTTTAAGTGAATTGAGGCAAAGCTTGAATGGATAACCACAGGCAAAGTCCTACAGCTGTTTATATACATTTTGTCTTTTTTCCAAAACTGGATCGAAACACAACTCTGATCCAAGCACTCCGAACCATCACAAGCTCGGGTATCTTTCTCTCCGTCTCCTGCATCACCGGCAGCGCGCAAGGGTTTGTGTAAGGGGTGGGTCTGGGTCCCGCCTGCAACGCGGGGCAGAGCTCAACCCACCTTCCAACTCAGCAAAGCCGAGCACCACATCTGAGGCTCTCCCCTGCCTGTCCTTGACCTCCAGAGCTGTGATGGTGCAGCCCCAGGAGATGATGTCCACTCTCAGCAGATCTGACTGCAGCCGGAACTTCTCCACTGTTCCTGCCCCCGACGGCAGTTCTCCAAACACCGCTCTGGTCACCGAAGTCATGGGGAAAACTCGGCCGTGCAGCTACTCCCGGTCCTTCAAACTCCTGCCGCCAAGCCAAGAGCCAGAGAAGTTTATAGGAAAAGGGGCAAGTGACCTGGCTCAGACTCCTCCCCTTCCTTCTCTGGATTTAACGAGTGACCATTCCTGCAAAAAATATCCTACGGGGGCCTTTCCGGGTCATTATTGTCCCTGAGCATGACCTCAAGGCAAAAATTTCCAAACAGGCAAGCAGTTCTTTTCCATCGCTAACTCTGGTTGCATTGCATGCTGGGAACGGTAGTTTTTGGAAGGTGGAATTGCATTATGGGATCTGTAGTCTTTCGAAAAGGAGCCCTGGAGGAGCGGAGGTTAAAGCGCTTGGCTAGTAACCATAACGATAGGCTGTTCAAACCCACAGGTTGGCGGTTGGAACCCACCCGCCGCTCTGTGGGAGAAAGATGTGGCTGGCAGTCGGCTTCCCTAAAGATTTACAACCTTGGAAACCCTATGAGGCAGTTTTCCTCTGTCCTACAGGGTTACTATGAGTTGGAATCGACTCGATGGCAGTGGGTTTGGGTTTTTTGGTTTTAGTCTTTCCAAATTCTAAGTGCAATATTCTACCCCTACTCTATTCTACAGGGTCGTTTTGAGTCGGAATGGACTCGATAGCAATGGGTTTGGTTTTTTTTAATTTATTTTTATTGTTATTATTGTACTTTAGATGAAGGTTTACAGAACAAACTAGCTTATCATTAAACAATTAGTACACATTTTGTGTTGTGACATTGGTTACCAACCCTAGGACATGTCAACACCTCTCCCCTACTCGACCTTGGGTTCCCTGTTGCCAACTTTCCTGTCCCCTCCTACCTTCTAGTCCTTGCCCCTGGGCTGGTGTGCCCCTTTAGTCTTGTTTGTTTTATGGGCATGTCTAATCTTTGGCTCCCCAACATGTCTGAGGTACTGTGGGTGCTTGTGTGTCACTATGATGCTGGAAGCTATGCCACCAGTATTCAAATACCAGCAGGGTCACCCATGGCGAACAAGTTTCAGCTGAGCTTCCAGACTAAGACAGTCTAGGAAGAAGGGCCTGGCAGTCTGCTTCTGAAAAGAATTAGCCAGTGAAAACTTTATGAATAGCAGCGGGACGTTATCTGATATAGTGTCAAAAGATGAGCCCCTCATGTTGAAAGGCACTGAAAATACGACTGGGGAAGAACTGCCTCCTCAAAGTAGAGTCGACCTTAATGACATGGATGGAGTCAAGCTTTCGGGGCCTTCGTTTACTGATGTGGCACAACTCAAAATGAGAAGAAACAGCTGCAAACATCCATTAATAATCAGAATGTGGAATGTATGAAATATGAATCTAGGAAAATTAGATATCGTCAAAAATTAAATGGACTGCATAAACATCCATACCCTAGGCATCAGTGAGCTGAAATGGACTGGTATTGGCCATTTTGAATAGGATAATCATACTGTCTACTCTGCTGGGAATGACAAATTGAAGAGGAATGGCATTGCATTAGTCGTCAAAAAGAACATTTCAAGATCTATCCTGAAGTACAATGCTGTCAGTGATAGGATAATATCAATACGCCTACAAGGAAGACCAGTTAATATGACTTTTATTCAAATTTACCCACCAACTACTAAACCCAAAGAAGAAGAAATTGAAGATTTTTACCAACTTCTGCAGTCTGAAATTGATCAAACATGCAATCAGGATGCATTGATAATTACTGGTAATTGGAATGCGAAAGTTGGAGACAAAGAAGAAGGGTTGGTAGTTGGAAAATATGGCCTTGGTGATAGAAATGATGCCGGAGATCACATAATAGAATTGTGCAAGACGAACGACTTCTTCATTGCAAATACCTTTTTTCACCAACATAAACAGTGACTATACACGTGGACCTCACCAGATGGAACACACAGGAATCAAATCGACTACATCTGTGGAAAGAGACAATGGAAAAACTCAACATCATTAGTCAGAACAAGGCCAGGGGCCAACTGTGGAACAGACCATCAACTGCTCATATGCAAGTTCAAGTTGAAACTGAAGAAAATTAGAGCAAGTCTACTAGAGCCAAAGTATGACGTTGAGTACATCCCACCGGAATTTAGAGACCATCTCAAGAATAGATTTGACCATTGAACACTATTGACTGAAGACCCAATGAGCTGTAGAATGACATCATGAACATCATACATGAAGAAAGCAAGAGGTCATTAAAAGACAGGAAAGAAAGAAAAGAGCAAAATAGATGTGAGAAGAGACTGAAATTTGCTCTTGAACGTCAAGTAGCTAAAGTGAAAGGAAGAAATGATGAAATAAAAGAGATGAATAGAAGATTTCAAAGGGTGGCTAGAGAAGACACAGTAAAGTATTATAGTGACATGTGCAAAGACCTGGAGATAAAAAACCAAAACAGAAGAACACGCTCAGCATTTCTCAAGCTGAAAGAACTTAAGAAAAAATTCAAGCTTCGAGTTGCCCTAGGGAAGGATTCTACGGGGAAAATATTAAATGACACAGGAAGCATTAAAAGAAGATGGAAGGAATACACAGAGTCACTATACCAAAAAGAATTGGTCAACGTTCTATCATTTCAGGAGGTAGCATATGATCAGGAACTGATGGTTCTGAAGGAAGAAGTCCAAGCTGCACTGAAGACATTGGTGACAAACAAGGCTCCAGGAATTGACGGAATACCAATTGAGATGTTTCAACAAATGGATGCAGCGCTGGAAGTGCTTGCTCATCTATGCCAAGAAATTTGAAAGACAGCTACCTGGCCAGCTGACTGCAAGAGATGCGTATTTATGCCTATTCCCAAGAAAGGTGATCCCACCAAATGTGGAAATTATCAAACAATATCATTAATATCACACGCAAGTAAAATTTTGCTGAAGATCATTCAAAAGTGGCTGCAGCAGTATATTGACAGAACTGCCAGAATTCAAGCCAGATTCAGAAGAGGATGTGGAACCAGGGATATCATTGCTAATGTCAGATGGATCCTGGCTGAAATCAGAGAATACAAGAAAGATGTTTACTGGTGTTTTATTTTCTATACAAAGGCATTCGACTGTGTGGATCATAACAAATTACGGATAACACTGCCAAGAATGGGAATTCCAGAACACTTAATTTTGCCCATGAGGAACCTGTACAAATATCAAGAGGCAGTTATTGGAACAGAACAAGGGGATACTTCGTAATTTAAAGTCAGGAAAGGTGTGAGTCGGGGTTGTATCCTTTCACCATACTTATTCAATTTGTATGCTGAACAAATAATCCGAGAAGCTGGACCATACGAAGAAGAATGGGGCATCAGGATTAGAGGAAGACCCATTAATAACCTGCGATATGAAGATGACACAACTTTGCTTGCTGACAGTGAAGAGGACTTGAAGCACTTACTGATGAAGATCAAAGACTACAGCCTTCAGTATAGATTACACCTCAACATAAAGAAAATAAAAATCCTCACAGATGGACCAACAAGTAACATCATGGTAAATGGAGAAAAGATTGAAGTTGTCAAGGATTTCATTTTACTTGGATCCACAATCAACACCCATGGAAGCAGTAAAAATCAAAAGACACATTGCATTGGGCAAATCTGCTGCAAAAAACCTCTTTAAAGTGTTGAAAAGCAAAAATGTCACCTTGAAGACTAAAGTGCGCCTGACGCAAGCCATGGTGTTTTCAATCGCCTCATATGCATTTGAAAGCTGGATGATGAATAAGGAAGAACTGAAGAAGAATTCACACCTTTGAATTGTGGTGTTGGCAAAGAATGTTGAATATACCATGGACTGCCAAAAGAACGAACAAATCTGTCTTGGAAGAAGTACAACCAGAATGCTCCTTAGAAGCAAGGATGGCAAGACTATGTCTCACATACTTTGGACCTGTGATCAACAGGGATCAGTCCCTGGAGAAGGACATCATGCTTGGTAAAGTAGACAGTTAGTAAAGAAAAGGAACATCCTCAACGAGTTGGATTGACACAGTGACTGCAACAATGGGCTCAAGCATAACAACGATTGTGAGGATGGCATAGGACAGGGCAGTGTTTCGTTCTGTTGTATTTAGGGTCGCTATGAGTTGGAACTGACTTGATGGCACAACAACAATCTTTGGCTGAAGGGTGAACCTCAGGAGTGATTTCCATACTGAGATAAAAGGATGTTCGGGGCCATACTCTCCAGTCTCCGTTTTCTCCAATCTCTGTCAGACCAGTAAGTCTAGTCTTTTTTTGTGAGTTAGAATTTTGTTCTACATTTTCTTCAGCTCTGTCTGGGACACTTTATTGTGAACCCTGTCAGAGCAGTCAGTGGCGGTAGCCAGGCACCATCTAGTTGTGCTGGACTCAGTCTGGTGGAGGCTGTGGTAGCTGTGGCACATGGTTCTTAACACACACTGAGCTCTCTATTAATGTTGGTGGCTGACTATCAGACAAAGTACTAAAAATACAGAGAGCTGAATTAGGGACAAGTGAGACGAATCGTGGGGAGAATTCTGGTTTTAATTTAATTCTTTGATACAGAGGAGAAAGAAGTACTACTGTAGTTTAGACAAGGGGTAATCATTGCAGACTTCTTGTACAGGCTGACTGAAGATCCAGTCTGTTTGTCCCACTGTTGAAGCCGTAGGCACGTTTCTGCTGGAGCCCCTGTGGATAGATTAAACCAAACTCGTTGCTGTCTCGTAGATTCCAAATTATGGTGACCCCATGAGTTACAAAACAGAAAGGCTCCATAGAGTTGTGTGTGTGTGTGTGTGTGTGTCTGTGTGTCTGTGTGTCTCTGTGTGTGTGTGCTTTAGGTGAAAGTTTACAAAGCAAATTAGTTTTTCATTAAACAATTAATACACAAATAGTTTTGTGACATTGGTTGCCAACCCTGCAATGTGTCAACACTCCCCCCTTCTCTACCCAGGTTACCCATTTCCATTTGTCCAGTTTTCCTGTCCCTTCCTGCCTTTTTGTCTTTGCTTTTGGGCTGGTGTGTCCCTTTAGTCTCATATACATGATTGAACTAGGAAGCACATTCCTCACATGTATTATTGTTTGTTTTATAGACTTATATAATCTTTGGCTGAAGGGTGAACTTCGGGAATGACTTCAGTACTGAGTTACAAGGGTGTCCAGGGGCCATGCTCTCGAGGTTTCTCCAGTCTCCATCAGACCAATAACTCTGGTTTTTTTTGTGAATTTGAATTTTGTCCTACATTTTTTTTTACCTCTGTATTC